ATAATACATTGACTTGCCTCATGTTCATTAGCAAAAGGCATCTCAAATTGTTAAGGATCAGAAGTTAGAAGTTGTTGTGAGACTTGGAGGATTTCACTTCCTGAAGAGTTACCTTGGCTGCATTGGCTACATCATGGAAGGCAGTGGTTTGGCAGAAGCCATGGAAGCCATCTATGGACCTAATACAGTCCAGTACATCCTGAAAGGTGCAGCATACTCAAAGGCTCTGAGAGCACACTTCTTAACAGATGCCGCGCTGGTCAAACACATGATGGGTGAAAGTGACAGCGTGTGTTGTGGGCATTGCGACAATGGAACAGATAGCATAGATGCAGAAGAATAAATTGGTAGCGATGAAGAGGAAATAGACTGAGTATTATTAATTTGTTGTTGTATCTTGGTATAATTCTGTTACTGTTACTAATATGATATGATATTTGATATGATATTTTAGTGATAAGACGTCTATTTTTGACCTTTGACCTCATTTTCGGAGGTCAGGAATTGGTTCCATGGGTCAGTAATTATTCTATGTCACCTTCTTTCGTAATCCTGTGCATTTTGACACCAAGATCATCTATATACCATATTTTGTTGCTGAAATACAATTTTATATGATTTAGGCAGAGGCCAATGACCTTTGACTTCTGATAAAAAAAAATTCCCCAACCCCTATCCCTCCTTACTTTTTTTGGTAGTTGGCCATACCCATACCTACCCAAATCAGTTGAAATTAGCTTCTTTTAAATTTTTTCACAGATGAACCTTAAGTTAGGGATGCTAAAACAGTCGAGCTGCTTCTGACTGCAACGTGCATAATTGTTTATTCTATTCTCTACTAGCTGAAACTTGCTGTATGCATTGCATTGATTCAATGGTAACTTACCTTGGTCAGACAGCAAAGCTTGGTTGTACAAGACAGCAAATTTTAACCAGTGTTAATGGCTATAGCATCACAAATCAGGAATAAACAGAGAATAAACACATGTTGTTATCTACTCCTGATAACGTGAATAATTCAACTATCCCCCTTCTCCTCCTCCTCCTCCTCCTACTCCCACATCACCTTCTCCCTTCGATCTCCATCACCTTCTCACCTCTTGCTCATCTATGTACACGCGGGTACACGGAGATAAACGCACGTACACGCAGATACACGGACGTACACGCACGTGCACGCACGTACACGCGGGTACACGCACGTGCTTTTCACATCATCACGCACGCACATCATCACTTTTGCATTATGGAAGCAAGTTAGATGCCTCGTGGGCGTCTAGAAAGCATTAGAAGTAAAATTGGTCTTGTCTTGTAGCTGTGACATTCAGGCGTAGCCATGGTGACCAGTTGGTCATTTTTGTGTTTGAAATGTGATCCGACTACTTTGTAGAAATTCGCGTCATAGAGCTGGAAAAAGTTTCAAGCAGAGCATATAGAGCATGAATCTGTATTTATTTAGGTAGATGTTGTGTATGCGGCGAAACAGTGTGAGTATTTTTAATTAATTTCTGTTCGATGCTTATTCAGGCCTGCTGCCTATGAACGCCTTCTACTGTTGTATAACACCTATAGTCGTGCTGACATGGCGCGATTATTTCAATTTTGCTTTCTTAATGCAACCGGCGTGCCTGCACAATGGCCAGACTGCGTATACACCGGGCCGCCGAATCGTTGCAACAGTGAGCGTCTGTGAAGCACAGGTTTTGTCTACGACCATACTGAATCCTAAAGACAATTGTTGGGAGACAAAATTGTTTTTTGGGCAATGCACACATCCGATTATTGATGAGAGATAAATGTTTATGTCATGTTACGACAAGCTTTGGCTGTTTTTTAGGCTTTTAGCAACTGTATTTTTTGAAAATGTGAATAAAATATGACAAACCCAACGATATCACTTAAACCATACAGCTTTTCCATTAATCAGCTATATCGACATACACACAAAATACACACTAAACACCGTACAAAATAAACACACTATATCAAATTAGCTAGAACATATCAACAATCACACAACCATATCACACACGGGATATGTTTACTTTTACACAGTGACGACAAAAGCATAGTATTATTTTATCTGGCCACTATACATGACTGAATTTTTTTTTAAGCTACATGTGTAATCAATGAGAATTAATAATAAAAGCTGTAATATTTTATAAATTTTAATTTTAATTATTTTGATCAGATCCTTTGTTTACCATCCACAAATAAATTAATCATCAACAGTTGCATAATCATTTGAAAAGCAAAAACAAGCAACGTGTCGTGCATAAAACACTGGTAATTTGTTTTATCAATTTAAGTTTGTTTAGGGTTTTCTGCCATTATTGAACTTTCATCAATGATGTAACATGAACGAAGTTCAGTATATCTAAAAACAATGCTAAATGTGCACTAGCTTAGCTGTGTGAACCTTTATCATTTTCTTCCTGATTTGAACAGAAGTCATTTTCATCAGGCACAGGGCTCAGTGTGTCTGGTGTTGATGCTCGCTCACACTCCCCACCTACAGCATCTATTTGTGACTCCAGTTGATCTTCTGAAATTACTTTGAAAAATTCTTCAAAACTCACGTAGGATGGAACCTTGCCATCTGCATCCAGAGGCAGTATGCTACAACTCTCACTTGAGCAATAGTTTGCACTGGCACTACCAGATGACTCTGTACTGGTATACGTTTGTGATCCCATCATTGTAGACTGGTTTGTTGGGTAACATGTAAAGCTACCGCTTTCAGTACTGTAGGAGGAGCTAAGCGTTAACAAGGGATTCGTAGAAAACGTCTTGTTCCTAATTGGACTGGTAATTGCATTCGGAAGTGGGTAGTTGAAGCTGCGTACTAGCAGGGTCATGTCGTCTCGCTTCTGGCAGAGGCTTGCACGCTCAGAACCTGTGTACCATGTGTCCTGGTGGATGCGCACAATCTTATCGATCACCGCCTGTGCAACGCCAAACAGTGTTGACTGTACAGAAAACTCTGCTGCAACCATGCTTGCGATATCCGCATTCACCTGGTCGGTTCCTAAAAGACAAAGCAAAGGGATGGTCTCGGTGCTGCAATCAACTGAAGTGTACTAGCTGCAAGTGTTGATTTCACGGTTAGTTTCGTAAAGGTGCAAGCACGGCGCTAAATTTAAGTTATTTACACCATCCTATACTAGATCATAGATCGTATATCCTAGATCCTATATCTTATACTCAAGAAGAAGAAATCTTATATTCTACAGTTGCACACTCCACTTGTTGGCAGACGTCCAATTCACATTCTGCTTGCAGCCAAGAATCATATTACGTTACGAATAATATTAAACAAACAAGCTGCAGGAAATTAGAAATATTTTCAAGAAAATGTTCAAGGAAAAGAAAAATTATACACTGCAAGTATAATATCTATTGGAGCAGTGTGTGGGACATTGTCGTATATATCTGCACTATATGTTCACACAGAAATAAAAGCGCAATATAATGCATAAACCATATAACTATGTGCATTGCACACAAAGTTAGTGTGCCAAGTATTTAGTAATAATTACGTGCAGATTCTTAGCTTCAGCTAGAAACACATTGTATCTTCACATAGTTTTGTGGAGGCATCATGAACAGGCATCCTGCGACAACTGGCAGCTATGAAACAGTCAGATGTGAGAAACTACATTTACAGTAATGCCACACCGCGTACTCTTATATTGATTATGCTTGGCCATTTTATAATAGCTATACTTAAATACCATGAAATAAATATAATGTTGAAAATATTTTCAATTTTAAATCTCGATAATAAATGATGATCTCATCTACTCATCTTTTTCTTAACAAGTATGACCCTGATCATCATTCACATGTAAGTGTTATTAATCCTGTATGCAACATGTCAATCACTGTGTAGTATAGCGTCTGTCAGTTTCCAAATATATCAATACATTCCATGGACAACCATACACAGTCTTCTCTGAAGTTGGCAGACAACAAGCCCCAGCCGTCTTTAATGCCGCACGCTAACTCTGACGGAATCACGAGGTGACATCACATACACCGACCAGACTATATCAAGATCATGTTTCTATGTTGAATATTAGCTGAAAATGAAGGATAATGGATTTGAATGGCGGCCATCTTGGAAAATGAACGCCATTGCTGCCGTGGGACAAATATGCGATGGCCCTATAGCGAAAAATCTTCCTTAGGGCATGCTCTAACAGTGTGCGAAAGCTCATGCGTGTATCATCAAAATCTCAATTCATTCACATATCTGCCGGGCTACTAGTCCTTTCTGTACCAAATATCACTGTCCAAATCATCTATGAAATATTATGGTGTGGTCACCTCGTTTTAGAGAGGTCATGCATATACAAGGTGTGTTATTGGCATTTGAGGATCCGAGAGAGCATTAGAAGAGCTCATGTCCCGATAGTCTAGAAGCCAGCTAGGGGGCCGTTGTCAGAAACAAAATTACTCGCAACATTAGTCTTACAAAAAAGTGGCACAAAAAAGTATTTAAAACAAGAGAACAAATGCCATACGGCATTTGTAAATGTTTTGACACTTTTGTTTTGCTTCACGATCGGTAGATAATTAATGTTTTTGACGTGTTTTTCAAGAAAAACATGATATTACTTATTAATATAAAGTATAATATCACTATAATTGTAATTCTTAGTCTAAATGTGTTATTTTCATCTTAATATTAAAGTTAAGCAAAGGTAAGGGAGGGTCTAGGATCTCTTAAGTTAAGAGAAAAGTTACGAGAATTTTTAATTCTCTTAACTTTACGAAGTTTCTGTCAACGCTCTAAGAGAAAAAGTTTATGTTAAGGTTAATGTTAAGACTAATTTGTTTCTGACAACGGGCTCCAGCTATTTGAAATCAAACAGAAGGTTCACGCTGGCCATCTCGGCATTAACGTGTGCATACGTCGAGCTAGGGACCTAGTGTACTGGTACTTGCCTGGTATACCCAAGAATATTCGTCAGCTTGTTGAAGCGTGTGAGATCTGTGCGTCACTCCCAGACAGGCAGACTCAGAGCAACTAATCATGCAGGAGCTGCAAAGTCGCCCATGGGAGAAGATGGCAACAGATCTTTACATGTTAGAAAGGAGAAACTACCTTATCGCCGTGGACTACTTCAGCAACTTCTTTGAAGTAGACTTCCTAAGTGACACTACCTCAGAGACGGTGATCAACAAGCTGAAGCACCACTTCGCCCGTCATGGCATACCAGATACACTTATCAGTGACGGAGGCCCGCAGTACACCTCACAGAGCTTTGAAGACTTCAGTAACAAATGGTGTTTTAAGCATGTAGTCTTGTGCCCAGGAAACAGCCAGTCGAATGGTTGTGCAGATGCGCATGTCAAGGTCGCAAAGAGAACCATGCGAAGAAGTCTACTCTCAGGACAAAATCCTTACATTGGCCTACTCAACTGGCAAAAACACCCCGACAGAGGGTATAAACACACGCCCAGTGCAATGCTCAATGGGTCGTCTTACTAAAGCGGCCCACACACGATCAATATAATTGACAATAATATTGGTACAACATTATTGAAAAGAAATTCTATTGGTCATCAATGGCATAATAATCGCCCAATGTGCTCCCTCCTCGATGTGGGTGGTGTCTCCTGATCATGCAGGATAAAAACATTTCTTCGAAATACAACAGGGTTGGTTCATATACTTCATCTGTCCCTGCACGAGACTTATTAGTCGTTTAATTTTTTCAACTCCGCTTAAACGCTTGTGCCAACAACAGACCCTACAGCGATGGTAAACACAATACAGCAGAACAAAAGGTTCTGAAGGAGCAAAAACAGTCAATGACTGCAGAGCGATTCACCCACAGGAGAGTACTACAAACCCCTCAACGTGGGAGATACCGCACGCATGCAACCCAGTGTTTCCCCTGGCCAAAAAGGTCAGCGAGGTGGTAAAAAATGTTTTGGTGGTTGCACAATCCGAGGAGCAGGCAATGCAAGCACCGAAGGTGATCGCCATGCTAGGGGGTCTGGGGGCATATGCTCCCCGGCAATTTAAAAAAAAGGTACAATTTGGTGCATTCTAAGCTATTCTGAACACATTATATAATATGAGACTCTTGAATCACGCGACTGCATACATTAGGGTCATAATGTCTTGTTGAACAGGATTCCTCGTTTCCCTTTGAATTGAACTTTGAATTAAATAGTAGAGGCTCGTCTCCACACACACGGTGGAGCACGGCTACTGCGCCGTTCACCCGCTCCGGCAAAAATCAAATCTATATATATTATAGCACAGTCCCTGCTGACACGGTGTTCCACATTGTATGCACGCTATTCATGCTGACCAGGTTATGTACCGTGCTCACGTGACCAGCTGATTCTGATAGTGAAAGTTCTTGTTGCTGGGAGAGTCGCGTTCTCGCGTAGACGCAGAGTCGAGTAGACGTGTTTGTATGGTTATGCTAGCCGCACACTATACGATTTTGCACTGTGCACAGTCGTAGGCTCTCGCACACTATACGACCCGCTCCCGATCGATCGGGAGGCCCCCGCACACTGTACGACTCAAAGTTGGCGCAAACCATGGCGCTCTCGTGGCGTTCCAAGCGGATTTAGCGTGTACTAAGGTTCGGGAGTGTTTTCCCGCCATTTTTACCAAATGCGGTTCCCATGGTGCTGCTCTGTGATTGGTCAATTTTCTTCAGCGCTCGGCGGCGGGTCGGATGGCCACGCACACTATCCGAGTTGCGTCATAAGCTCTCGCACACTATATGACCCGCTCCGCTCCTGATTCAAAATTCGACGTAAGCCTCCCGATCGCACTCAGGTCGTATAGTGTGCGGCTAGCATTAGCCTGTGTTGTGACTAGCATGTATTGTGTGTGCGTGTTGACAATATCGTGAGTGCGTGGCATTGTGTTTTACGTTTGGAGCTTTATTTCGATATTAGTTCAATAAAGTGTAGTTTATTGATGGAAGAACAGTGATTTTCGTCAGCGAGGCGGTGTTTTTGGATAAATTTCTGCGTGGTGGCTGAGAATTTGAGCGAGGTGGCCGCCTCGCTCATGTCAATGCAGGGGAAACACTGCAACCAAATGATGCTGGCAGGAAGCAGTGGAAACAGGCTACTGTTATCAAGACATGGTGCACGCTCATACAGTGGCTTGCGCCAAGGGAAAACTTATCGTAGAAACCGGAAGTTCTATGTGTGGCAGTCGCTGTACTTGAGAGAAAAGTATCGGACAGTAACCCCAGTACCGTCATCACACCGGCCTCGAAAGTGACTAAAAAAGGTAGCCCGACCCAACCTCCCAGAGAGATAGAAGCTACACATCCAACTGTAGAGCCTACACAACACGTGGGCAAAAATCCAACCCCACAAGAACCTTACAAGACCCGTGCAGGGAGAAGTAGAAGTGTCAAGAGTGTAGAGAAACTCAATCAGTGAAGCATTGTGTGTCACTGTTTTTCATTAGTTGTTCTGTTGTGATTCAAACGTTATACTAGATCGTTAAGGAGGGAGATGTTATGTGAATGGCCCTACTAGGCCAAGGTATGTTTATTTGCTTTACGTGCTTGCTGACAGATGGCGTAATTAGTCAACACACTGCTAAGATGAAGAGTCACCATTTCTGCTGAGATTATGATTTGCAACTTACTAAACCTTCATGTCTGAATACACACACACTAGGTATTAAAAAAAAAAATTTCAACTGCACAGCAATTTCAATTATCACTGGCAGTTGACGGCTGTAGGAGGGTTAATGCTGACAGATTCTGGCATAATGAATAACGCACTGGTTGGATTATGATGCTGATGTTATCAGTAACTATGTTTAAAGGGCTGCACATGCACTCACTGCACATGCACGTAAACAATCCAAACGCTCAAAAAGATCACATGCACTCATTTATGGGAAAATAACCATGTACAGAGGTGGCAGGTGGTGTTATCCATCAAATAAAAATGAAAATGAAAAATCACTGAAATTTCACATTAAACCTTGAATGTAGAGACAGGGTAATTAAGGCTCTACTTACAGGG